TAAAGAAAAGATTGAAAAATTATGTTTGCACATATACCTGAAAGGTGCACACTATCAATCTAATAATCTATTAGAATCTTAATCTGAGGAGACCTTTCTGAGCTTGGTTGTTTTCTTGCTGGACGTTTCATTACCCAAAGTAGGTAACGTCATCAGGGCTAGTAATCAAACGTCAGCAAGTAAACAGCCAAACTCAGAGAGCACCAAGGATCCCTCATTTCAACCCCGAGATACAAATATTCTCCTTTATTGGAATCTTATTCTGTCAGCAGCATCTGTTGCAAGGGGTGGGAGGAGAAAACAGTACTGCAGTTTCAATGAATACAATAAAAGCCCTGCTGCATATCATATTTTGCATATGATGCAAAATACCTAAATCGTAACATTTCATGTGAGATGGGTGGCATATAAATGTAACAAAATGAATAAATATTTTTGTTCAGTTTTACTGACAATATTTGTGTTCTATACAGGTCAACTTAACCATTGAAATGTATGAAAATTTCAGAGCTTATACTGTGTTTCTCTGAAAATAAGACAGGGTCTTATTTTCTTTTGACCCCCGAAATAAGCACTTGGTCTTATTTTCAGGGAGGTCTTATTATTTTTAAGGTGCAGGAGGCGGCAAGCATGGTCACCTCATGGCTGCTGCTGTGTTGCAATATTTTTGGGGAGGGCTTATTTTAACGCATGCGCTCAAAAGCCCAAAGGTAAAATGCTCACTTCTTTTATAACTCCTGGTCAAAGACTGAGAGAGATTTAATATGATTTTTTCGGGCTCCAGACTGAGTTAAGAAACTGGAGATAGAAGGAGCCCAGGAGGCATGGCTAAGAAAATTCTAACTCAGTCATCGGGCAGATAGTCAGAAGTTAAATCCATGCTTTGGATTCTCCTACACAGGAGAACAGGGTAGTATGACACTAATTACATCATTATGACAAAACCAGTAGCAAGGTCCTGCCAACATTTGTATACTCTCCCCATCCATACATCCCAATAGATCTAAAGTTCATATAAAGCAAAGACCTATAAGCAGAGGGACGGTGAATATTCTGGGCTTGATAGGGTTGTAATAATCCCTCTGAAGAATGAAATTCACAGAGATATCAACTGATCCTTATTTATCAATGGAGCAGAGGGTGGTACAAAATGCTTTCAACCAGAGCTTATGCTCAACACTACCTCATCTCTATGGCAGACTGCCGTAATGTGTTTTATATGGTACTGCGTTCGAAGGCACTTTAAGGAACTGAAATTGATCCAAAAATCTTGCAGCAGGATAATGACATCATGATACTTATACAAAGCTTTGCCAACTGTCCTGGCTCCCAGGCGTGCCACAAAGAATACCTACAACCGTTCACGATTGGCAGCCAAAGTATCTGGAAGCTTTCTGTTTATTTCAATGCAGTCTCTTCTTCGATTATCTCTACATCTGAGATTCAGCTGTGGAAAAGCGCATCCTGGTTGGTGGGCCTCCAAAATGTTCTTCCACAGAACAGGCTGTCTAGTGCAGGAGTACACAAAAATTCCATGATTCCTCTAAAGCTGACTTATAGTTCAACAAAATAAGGAAAGATTATGAAATATACAGGGGGAGGTAATCATATTAAATTATACTCATTTTAAATTAAATTACAAATCCACCCTTGGACTCAATCACTTTTTGGAATATAACTGATGGTGTGTATTTCCAAGGCCAAGCACCTTAAATTGGTGGTGCACGGTTTTTTTCCCCTCGGGGGATGTTTATACAATACAATACAATAGCAGAGTTGGAAGGGACCTTGGAGGTCTTCTAGTCCAACCCCCTGCCTATACTGTTCCAGAGAAATTGCTATCCAACATCTTCTTAAAGACTTCCAGCGTTGGGGCATTCACAACTTCTGGAGGCAAGCTGTTCCACTGGTTAATTGTTCTGTCAGGAAATTTCTCCTTAGTTCTAAGTTGCTTCTCTCTGTTTAAATTTGACCGCTTCTTTCTTTACTGATCATTGATATCTCTGCTGGCTTTTCTGCCCATTT